CTAAAGAGGGTGTTTCGTCGAGGTGACCCACAATCCATTGGGTTGGAGGTTTGACAATCAACATGGCGGCAGTTAAGGCACTTAACCCAAAGGCTGAAGTTGCGAGATCAGCTGCGGCGTTGCATCTAAATATCACCGCAGCAAGAGGACTTCAAGATGTGCTTAAAACAAATTTAGGCCCCAAGGGTACAATGAAAATGTAAGTGAAAAATCTCTTGCTTTTTGTAAAGTAAGCTTAATTTGAACACGTGCTGGAGGACGGCTGTACGTAAGAGTTCGTATATGGTTTTGAAACTGTAAAGCTTAATTGCTTACGAGGAAAACTTGCATCGTTTTTACCTTATGATGCAGTTTTCTCTTGCCCGTTTATAGCTTCAGTATTTATTTTCGGTTTAAACTTTGTTCCTTGAAAACTCTGTAGACGGGCTTGGCTACGCTTTCATATGCGTTCAATTCTGGGGCGCGTTGCGGATAAATCACCATCCAGTGAATCAGTGGTGACGAAATATATTTCAGACTCCATTGAGCCGATCACTCTGATCTGGATATCACTAGAAAGACTTTAGTCTTGCAAACAAACAATTTACTGTTTACAAGTGTCGTTAGCATAGTAGTTGACGTTTATAATTTCAGCGAAATTATAACTTTTTCAGAAAATATATATTCGTTCATTAGATGGACACAGCAATGAGAATGTGAAGCACTTGGGGCTTTCATTAACAAAGGTTTTTGGCTGTGATAAACACAAACGGATTTCCTATTTTTTGGCAGCGTGAAACAAAAGCTAGAAATCCCTGCAGGCTGTCGTAATCAGTACACTAGTGATTATCTGCCACATCCTGATTTTAGCGTGAAAGCTTATGTCATTCACACTTCTGCTGTTAAACATGGATTGATCCTATATAGCAAGGCTGAGGTGTTCAGCCTGCCAATCACAAATCCCAACGGGCCACCAGTGCTCCCATTTGATTGGTTTATTCACTCAGGTCTAATTAGCATGTACAAAGTTGCCACAAAATTCTGGAGAGTGATCAGGTGTAATTTCCTGGTTCTTTTTTTAGAAGCAAGCAATACCTTTTGAATTAAAAAACAATAGCTTCAGGAAAAGAGTTCAGAAAGATAATTGACTGTTTTTTTTAATTCAACTTCATAATTTTGTTTTTCCACCTGCGAAAGCATATCGTCTTTTTTCGAGCTGTTTACTCAAGTAAAATGCCTTGCATTGTCTAGTACTTTTGATGCCAGCCTGAAGAAAATAGAGTGTCTGTTCATTTCTGGATCAATGCCGTTGAGAAATAAGTTAGGAAACTGCAACTCGTAAAAGACCCCAGATACAAGCAGACTGCGAAGGTAATAATGTGCGAGATGATGATATGTGGCTGGTAAATTATAAACGTGGCTGGATTTGTACATTGCAAAGAAGTTGCATTGAATGTAACTCAAGCCGTCTCCAAAACAAAATATTATTATTTCCATGGTAATATGGTTATTCTTCAGCCAGCTATCTAAAGAAGATTCCAAAAGATGAGCATTTGCTGCTGTTGTAATCTCACTGCTCAAATTCAGTCGGTCTTTTATGACTATAATTTATTTTTGTTTTTATTGCATTAAGCCACGGGTCTTCCTTCTCCTTTCTAACATCAATATTCTGCAAAGTCTCCCTTTTTGTTTTAAATTTCTTTGCTCTGAATATAGAAAAGGAATAACTCAGCATTGTTCAGTTTGTATTTTATTTGCACAGTCATGATGCTCATAAATCTGAATAATTTTGAACATCCCACCAAAATCTGTCTGTGTTTGCAGACTCACAAAAATCACCTCTTATGAGATTTGTTTCACTCTCGGCATGCTCAGATAAATGGAAACAGAAAGCTCGTTGAAAGCAGGTGTCACCTTTGCTATTTTAGTTAGTGGCAAAATTTGAATGTTCTATGAACTCATTGCTGAACGGACAAAGAGAATTCATTGTTTTTCACGCAGGGGCCAAACCACCCCCCCTAATGTTTCATGAAGGCTATATTTGCTTGGTTTATATATTTCTGAACCAAGTTTGGCAGATGAG